CCCAAATTCAACAACAGTTGTTGCAATAAACAATAGTCCAAAAGAAATTCAATTCCCTTGTTTTTTCAATAGGAACTTTGGTTTTATAGAATTTCAATTCACGTAGCACAAACAAGAATTTAGAAGCAAAAAATCTAAATCCCTCTTTTGTCTACCATCGAGATCCCTCCACTTCACACTTTTAGCCACCATCCACTGCCATTATTTCTCACCATAACCAGCACTACCACTCTCACACTTAGAACCCAAACCTCCCATCAACACCATAAAAAAAAAAACCATCATTAACAACCAACAACCAACAATACATACAAAAAAAATCATAGAGCTATAAAAAACATTGTTTTGCCTGAAATCCATTTCCATCACCATTACTATCACCAGTCCTTACCACCCCTACAATCATCACCTACTGCTATTACCTCTTCTACCTGTCACCTCCTTCATAGTTGAAAATCCCCTTACAACACCCCTATCACTTAAACCATCAACACCATACATCAATCGTCCCACCCCACCATCTATAACCTAACTATTCAAAAAATCATAAATTAAAAAAAAAACACACACACACACACAAAATCTTCCCCTTTTCTACACTTAGGAGGACGCTTATGTAAACCAGAGGGGGCTTTAGCTCTCTAAAAAAAAAAAACAATTTTAAAAATCCCTAGTAATATGAAACAAAGGTGGATGATTATACAAGTCAAAAAGGGATTTTAGCCCCTTAAAAATATTAAAAACAATAAAGTTTGTTAAGGAAATCAAATAATCTATAAGCTCTTTTCTTAATGTGAATGTATTATGTTCAATTGACTTAGTTAAACTAGTTAATTATATTCTGAAATCCAAATGACATGTTTGCAAAAGACTAATAAAAAGGTATTGTAAAGATGTTTTTTAAATGGCTAAAATCCATTAATCTGTTAAGAGTCACACCAAGATTTTGTTACCTTAGCTTTGTTTTAGTGTTTATGGTAATAGGTTTGTACCTATCTTATGCATTATATTTTAAGAGGGATTAAAATCATATTATTATTATTATTACTTACAAGCCTTTAAAATCAACATATTTGTTATAAGAATTAGGAAGCATATATCATTTACAATTTTAATCATATTCATTTAACAAAAGTCAAACTGACTTTTTAGTTTCTTCATAAGACTTCAAATCTATAATCAAGTATCTAACACATTTTTTAAAATCAATTGCAGAATCTCTCTATATAATCTTCACTTTTAATTTTATTTTAAATTTTTTCTCTCACTATAATGCAATTTTTTTTTCAATGCAAAAGTTAGATTTGAATAACTTTTTAAAAGGTTACAAAATTTTTAACTTCTAATCTCAAAGTTTTAATTGTATTCTTTTAATGATATATTTTATTTAGCAATTAGTTTATTTGTGTTTTTTTAATGATATATTATAATGATATATTATTTAGCAATTAGTTTATTTGTGTTTTTTTTTAAATCATTCACAATATTAAGTAAAATAATTTATTTTATGTATTATGTTTCTTTGTACATTTGTTTATGAATTGATAAAATTATAATTTTTATTATTTTTAGTATATTTCTTATATATATTTATTTTGATAATATATAATAGTTTACATATAAAGAAAAAAAATAAAAATTTAGTATAATATTAATTAGCCCCTTTAACATCATATGTCAAGATCCAACACTATCTACACTAAAATCACATGTGAAAATACCCAAAAATAGAGTCACAAGCAAAAAAATTCAACCTTATTTCCCCAATGGGGAAAGTAACACAAAAAAAGCAAAATAGCAAACATAAAAAAAAAAAAAAGAGGAGAGTTGTCATTTGGGAAAAAAGAAAAGCAAAAACTGAAGAAGAAGATAAGGGTTTAGTGATAGGTGGTAGCAAGGGCTAAACAGCTGGAGGCTAATGGCTAAAGTCTAGTATTGGCTGGAGAAAAAAAGAGAGTTGCAACAATTGTAAAAGAGAAAAAGAAAAAGATGTAAGAGGTAAAGGGGAATAAAAAAAAATAGGGGCTATCAACCTAGATCCACTGTTACCACCCGTTTTTCCAAGATTGATATGATGTAGTCCAATTTCTTTTTGGCTCAATAGCTTTGTTATTTGAGTTTGATAGATCTCACATTTTGGATTACTACCTTAAGAATCACTTGGGGTATAATCTTTTTTTTTTTTTTATCTTTATACTGTGTGTTCATTTATCATATATATTATATGTGTTCATTTATAATATATATATATATATATATATTATATTAAAAAAATATTTGTATGAGGAGAATGCATGTATTAGCAATAAAACAATTTTTATGAAGCTAAAAATTTCAAATGTTTGTGGTGACGTTACATTTTTATAAAATATTTCACAATGAGATGATTATTATAGTTATTTATTTTTAGAAATAAAAAATATAGATAATATTTTTAAGTAAAAATAATTTTTGAGGTCCTGTTTAAATATAAGTGTAAATTAAAATAATTATTTTTACTAAAGAATATTATTTGGGTTTTGAGAAAATTATTATGAAAAATTTTTCAAATTGAAAAATATTTCTCCTAAATGCTACTTAAATATTGGAAATTTTGGATAAATTTTCTTTAAAAAAAAGTCATTTTACTTCCAAATAAAAAACTTATTATGTTAAAAGAAATATAATAATAAAAGACAAAAGATTGGGAAAAAAAAAGGTAAATAAAATTGATTACTCACATAAATTAATTTTTTGTTTATTAGCATCATTAATTTATTCTATATTGTATCATATGCATGGCATTTGTTGATAATAAAAGTGGAGTGGTCAAATAATAATCTTAAAAGGTTATTTTAAATAAAAGTTAATATCTCTAAATAAAAAAATTTGAAAACCTTACTTAGATATTGAAAAGAATTCAATGATTATTTTTGTCTAGGGATGCTGTTTTTTTTTTTTTTTTAATAATTGTGAGAATTTCTTAAATGAAAGATCTTATTTCTTAAATTTCGTCTAGATATTAAAAAAATTCCAACACAAAAATTTTCATTTTATCACTAAATGGTTTTTTTTTTTAAATAATGACGAAAAAATAAAAGAAATAAAGTTAAAGATTTATAAGATGAATTAAATTGATCAATTACATATTTTAATTTGTATTTACATCATTCTTTTGCTTCATGTTGCATCACACGCATTTTATTATTGTTAAAAAAATAACCTAGTAAATGATGATTTTGAAAAATTTTTCTTTCTATTAGAAATAAAATAAAATAATACCTTAAGTAAAATAATTCTTGAGACATTGCTTAGATATTGAGGAATTCTTAACAATTATTTGTTATGAAAATGCCTAAAGGAAGAAAATGCATTTGGTTTTGGTTTTAAGGATTATTATGAACATACTCAAGTGGAGAAATATTTTTTGCGATTTCACTTAGATATTAAAGAATTTACAAAATATTTTGAAACAAAAATTTTCATTTTGTTCTTAAATAAAGTGATTCTAAAAAGGATGACCCAAAAAGGATTTTATGATAGTAAATGAAATTTAAGGAATTGTTTCTTTCTCATGCCTAATTGTATCCCCGAAACTAATTTTGTTTTTTGTAGACCAAAATTTTTTTTAATAAGTTTTAATTAATTTTGAGATTTTATTAAAAGATAAGATTTTCTAAGTGATCAACCACACCTAATAAAAATATTAGTGGTAATTTTGTGTTTTAACTTTTTAAAAATAATTTGTTTAAGTAGTTGGATTTTCGAACCTACACAATGGGACAGCCTAAATTGGAAAAATTTAAATATACTTTTTATAAAACAAAATAAAACCCTAAGAAATAAAGATAAATGATAAAATTTAAAGTTTAGGCCTTTCTCATAAAAACATTTAATAAGTCCGATGATAGAGTCTTTTTAAAAAAATGAATGAAAATTTTAAATACTTTTAAGATGAGAAAATTTTTTAAGATATTTGTGAGATTGATGGAGAAAGCCTAAAGAATTCTTTCCAATATTTAATTACTAAAATGTAATCAAATAAAAAGATCATTTAGTTAAGAAATTTTAGGATAATTTAAGATTAATTGGTATCATCCTTTATGTAGGCATTACGAGAGTGTTAATATCTTTTAATACGTAATTGAACTCCTGAACCTAGTTTCGATTATTAGCCTGGAACGTATTTTTTTTAAAAGTTCTTAATCAAGTTTAGAATTTTCTTAAAATGAATAGATTTACTTAGATGATCAATCATACTTAGATAAAAAAGATTAATGACGACTTTTAATTTGTATTTAGCGATCAAATTTATGGATTTATACATTATAACAACGTATTATTTATACGGGTTGCAGTGCTGGTGGCCAAGGGAGATAGCATTTTGTTTTTTAGAAAAATAATAATCATATCTTGAGAAAAAAAAAAAAAGAGAAAGAGGAAAAAAGAACCACTGTCATTAGGAAAACCAGGGTTGTGAAAAATATTAATGGAAGAATTGTTTCATTATATTTAGGACTATAATGTAAAAATTAATAGACTCAAAGTTTGAGGCATGTCATTGTAATTTAGGCACTTAAAAACATTCTTTTATCCTGTCAAATTAGCCTTATCAATCCAAGTAGATTCATCCAAAGTTGCATAAATTTCTCTTTCTTATCATACTCTAAATATGAAGTTGTTTGGCATACACTACAAGGTTAATTATAATCAATGTCATTAAGTAACAAGCTTTGAATTATGATTGAAGATCAATTTAACAAAGTGAGTTAGTTAATTAGATTAGGTCATAGTCATGACTAACAACTTCACAAATAGGAGGAGCGTATCCCGGGGACTCATTTGGTTAAAAACAAGGCAATTTTTGGTTTCCCCTTTCAGCTACCTACTTTTATGCATTTGTTTCCATCTATTTCAACCCCAATAAAAAATCCCAAAACATAAAAAATTAAAAAAAAATCGAAACCTAGGAGCTATAGTCTCCCTCAATTCTCAAACATTGTGAGAGATATTTGGTAGTAGCATTATTATAGAAAAAGACATGGAAGATGAAATTAGCCATGGAAATGTGGCACATGGGCATAAAAGAGGAAGCCTCGACAGTCCATGTGTAAAAAGTAGTGGTAGCAACAACAATAATCACAACAATCTCAACAACAATAAAGAACAAGATCGTTTCCTCCCCATAGCAAACGTTGGCAGAATTATGAAAAAAGTGATTCCGAGCAATGGGAAAATATCCAAAGATGCAAAAGAAACTGTCCAAGAATGTGTGTCAGAGTTCATTAGCTTTGTCACTGGAGAGGCCTCAGACAAATGCCAAAGAGAAAAGAGAAAGACCATCAATGGAGATGATATCATTTGGGCAATCACTACCTTAGGTTTTGAGGAATATGTAGGACCTTTAAAATTGTACCTAAGCAAATATAGAGAGATTGAAGGAGAAAAGCTTAATATTCCAAAGCAGCAAAGATCTGAGCCAAAGCAGCAACAGCAACAAGAACAACAACCTCAGCAACAATCAGATCATGAACAAAATATACCTTTCAATAGCAATGTATATTCTTCAACAAATTTATTGTCACATCACTCATCTTTTTTGCCATCTGATCAACCATTTTCCTTGCCTTTCTCATCCAATTCTATTCAAAAGCAATTACAATAGCAAGACCAAATTGATTCCGTGGGGCATTAGTAAGAACAACAGAAAACTTATTTTCCAACTTTTTAGTTTACAAAAAATATTTTTCATTGAATTGTTATTAATTAATTTCATGTACACACTTTAATATATATTGTATTGTTATGTAATATTGAAACATTATACGTTTTTTGAATAATTTAATTAGCTCATATATTCTATGATTCAATCAATAGGCATTCTCATAAAATGATTTGAGTAATATGTACCACAGTCAAATTAAGTAAGTGAGGATAATTAATTAGTTTTCATATATGCTTTTTGTTTTCGTGTCTAAATGACCATGGAAAATTAAAGCATTACAAGAATAAGCAAATCTCATTTAATCGAGCACTTGAACATTTACTTCAATGTATGTTCTTGTATATATGAATATAGTTTATGTAATATTTATATATAGATAAATAAAGCATATGCGTATATAATTAAGATCAATATCAATAATTAGTTAGCACCGTATTATAATTATAAGTTTTGGGATTGATATCCATAAACAGATATATAAAAGAAGTAAAAAGAAAAAAAAAACACATTAATTAAGATGTATAATTTATTTCTTTTTATGGATTTATTTCTTAAATACTCCCAGTGCATTCATCGTTTTCATTATTTTCTTTTCTTTTGACTTTATTCAAATGCATAAAACCTAGAATGATCACATCGTGCATTCCTGCAAAGCGGAGATTTGATCTTTATCATCACTTATAATTTTATTTATCTTATCCTTTTAAACTTCGACATTTTATACATACATACATATACATATATATAGTTACATCTTGTCAGCTTTATTTAATTTTCTCTTAATATTGTCCCAAGTTTGTAAAGTATATAATCACTATTCAAAAGGAGAGTTTGTTATAAAAATTAATTGTTCCATTTTGTCTTTTTTTTTTACCTAAAATTTAATTGGAAAACACCCAAAACGGCATCAACCAGACTATGTGGTTTAGGAGAAAATACTAAAATGGAGAAAAATTCTTTTACATTTTAGAAATTAAACGTGCATTGAAGTTTCAAATTTGACAAACTTTAACCAATGAAAAATGTAGAAAATTAATGAGTAAAATACAACAATCATACACAATTTTTATGTAATATTTCATTTTTATATATTACTTTTAAAATTAAAATTTTGGATTCGTAATATTTTAAAATGTTTTAGATTCATCTATTTTGTCAACTACCATTAAAAATACAATGGAATATGTCACGTTAATACAATGTGGACATCCATATGATAAAAGTTCCAACTCAAAAATTAAATGGATCCATCTTGTTTGTAATGTAAATTTGTACATGTAATATTGTGGTGACAAATTTTGTCATATTTTAATGGTCATTTATCAAAATAAATAAATTGAAAAAATTTTAAAAACTTTGAATCAAAAAATTAAATTTTAAAAATCATAAATAAAAATAAATATTACATAAATACAATAAATTAATGTTTATATGATGCAATTTACTGGACAATTAATAGAGCTTGGATGGTAGCCGACATGCATGGGTTAATGATGAAAAAAATGAGTTCCAAAATCACACGTGCATGCATGGGGGCTAACAAGGATATTTCAATGGAAATGAATGTATGGTTTTGCGGAAGGTGTGGAGTCATGTGACCAAGGAATGAAAAATATTGTCGACTAAAGGCATGGGATGACCACAAGGCTATGTTGTGTCTTCATGTGGCATTACAAATCTTTCCTTTCAATCCAAGTGATCCGATCCTTTGGAAAATATTTTTTGTTCAACGGGTCCCTTAATCATGCTGGTTCCATTAAGATTGCCACGACAGTCGACACCTCTTGTGCAACAATAATATCAATTTTGCCGGTAGGAGATGCTATGACAGGTTGTTGTTGTCCTCGTAGGTTTTAAGGAAATGACATTTTGTGCTTGCGTTTGCTTTTCCATTTAATTTATCAACTCAAAGAAAATTGCTTTTCCATTTTAGAATCGGATAGAGTAGTACAACATCTAACCTTAAATCAATGTTTTAATAATCGAACCAGCTGAACAAATCCAAAGGATTGATTTTATACCTTAGTTGATGTTAAAATGAGTAATGAATCTATTGAAATCTTATCACTTGCAAATATTTTTAAAAATTAAATAATAGTTAAATTTTCTAAAAATCCATTCATATTTGGTTAATTCACGGAGTAATTTAGAATCATGAGAATGTTGATAGTATGAGAAGAAAAAATTAATTGCTCAAAAAACTAAGCAGAATATAAATTATGTAATGGAAGCACAACACCTCACACAAACAATCAATAATTCGCCTCAATAACCAATGTTTCATATATATAGATAACCAGCATACACATGCTATTCAAATAAAAGATCCAAACCAAGAAGCACAGAGCAGTACTATAGTAAATAAACAACAACAGTAACTGAATCTACAAACTGTAACTCGGTAAACAAGGTGCAAAACTAAAGTATGAACTTCTAATAATGCAACCCAAAGCAAAGACAATTTAATAGTAAACTAAATTTGAGCTTGTGCTTCAGCTAGAGTTTTTAAATAAGACTCTTCAAATGGAAAAATCAAACTTACCGAGGATTATCTTGAAGTAGTCTGTCAGGAGGCAACAGAAACATAAAATTGCGAAAATGTCCATATAAAATAGATTGTTTAGTGTCTGCATTTAAAAATCGCACCATAGCAACAACATTGTCTTCATTTGCTGAAGGTCCAGCATTTTTAAGTGATGCAAGTATTTCACTTTTTTGGAGGGTCCCAGACTTGCTTAAACAAAGAGAAGTATAAGCTCAAAGAATGGTCGGCTCCTTTTGTTCCATCAAGGACAAAAATGCTTCCAACCAAAAGATTTTGAAAATTGATTTCTTCTAGTGCTGCGCATGAATTCTTGAGCATATCTCCGTGGCAATTTTCTCTTTCTCATAGCAACTGCAAGATCGTCTAAAGTTACTTAACCATCATCATCTCTATCTGTTTCTTCAAAGAACCTCTGCCCTGACAGAATAATGCATGGGTAATAATAAGTCAGAGCGTACCTAGGACGAATAGTTTACCGCACTATAGTTAATCATATTAGAGCATGTCATTCTTTTAAAAAAGTAGAAAGTTTAGTGAAACCAAAGAAGCTCAACTAATATCTTCAACAATAAGCATAATATTTGAGTTTCAATGCAGAATACATTAATTCTGACAACAAAATAACGAATATAATTTTTATTATTAGCCAGAGATTTCGTGAAATAGCAAGGAAAATCATCATAATTCTAGAGAAAAATATGATGAAGGCCAATGTTTCCTTTACTGCTTACCAAGGCTAACAGATAAAAGCTTTTAATGGTTTTTTACCTTTTCATTTTTTATAGAGATGTGAGGTTACTTCATGCATGAATCTGACCCATCATAAAATCTTTAACTCGAGTATGCTTTACACCTTCTAAGTAACCGTAATGAAATGACTCGTATGAGGAAGACATGCAGCGATAAAAGCTTTTAATGGTTTTTTTGCTATGGTTTTTTACTTTGGCAAAAAAACTCCAAAATCTTGCAAACAATGGGACAGTGACTCTAGTCTTCAACTAAGCAGACAACAACCATTTCAAGGGTTAATCGAAGGATAGTGTGGCAGAAAACAAACCTCTCAATGTGGACCAAGGCAAAGATGAAAGAGACAGGTAGCTTTTATGAGCTATATAATTAAGAGGCAACTGAGTAATTAGCTCAAAAGATACATCAGTAAGAGAAAATTACATTGCACTGCTAGCATTAATAGACAAAATGCGATTGCAGGAAATATGGTTTCTTTTTACCGCATTTTTAAATTCTAATGCATTAATAGATAAAATGCAAGTAAATAATAGTACAAACCACATCCAATGCCATGCATAATCGCCTCCTTTGATCAAGTGTTTCCCCAGCAGCTGGCCTATGGTTTATTTCTATTTAGTCCTTTAGGTTAAAGTATCTATTAATGCAGTTACGAATGGCTTCAGCTGATGGCCATCATTATTGCATTCCCATCTGCATCAACTGCAATGGAGACTTGAGCAACTTTTTTAGTGCTTCTACTATGTTAGTAAAAGATGGCCATTGAGCAGGGTTGCTGCAAACAATAAAATCCAACCATTATTAGGAACAGAAAACATGCAACTAATGTAAAAGAAAAGAGTGCAATAAGAAATTGCTAGTATTCTCAATGTGACATCGGCAATCTGAGAAATGCTTACCACAGGCGTCAATGATGGCGCTTTTGAGATACCCATGAAAATAACTGTTTAATGAAACTCAATCTACATATTCTAATTCTCTTTTATTTTAGCAAGTCTGCTAAATATCAAACTGCATCCAGCTATAGTAGCCAGTCTCTTTTTTTTGCCAGAACTACAATAACCTGTTAAGGAAGCATCTAAAGCTAGCTGGTTACATGACCTACCCAAACTTACCCGCAATATCCCTCCCATGGCAATTTTTTGGGCCTTAGGTTTTATTGTTGTTACTTGCTCCATGATAGAAAGAGTCAACATAATCATACCTGCGATAATGGGAAACAATTCAAATTAAGAGTAATCAGCTTATTGATGCTACAATAGTAATTTCAAACTTCTGTCAGAACTCTAAGCTTAAGGGGCCAAGAAATAAACAGGTAATAAGTGAAAAAGATAGAGGCTCATGGTAAACTGAATTGGACAGCTTTCCTCTGTCATCATTCTTTGCAGATACTAAGCAGAGAAATCACTCTTAGAGCCATGATACTTGAACGGAACCCAACACTGGAGAAGAAATGGAAAAGGAACAAAAAATAAAAGGAAAGCTAATTAATTCATGTAGTGAAATGAATTTAAAATTTATAAATTCATACCATTAAATAGAGATTCAACAAATCTATGAATTTTAAAATACTTATGAAATACATGTTTACCTGTACTTTATATCACACATTTATATTAGAAATGAAATCCAAATCCCTTCTTTTAAATTTAAGGTTCCAAATGTAACCATCTTTTTTCCAATTTTTTTTTCAACTTAAATGTGCTTGAATCTCATGCCATGTATTTTTCAAGTCAAAATTTAATCTAAGAAATTCCTTATTTC